ATTTTTTTTTTTTTTTGCTTCTAAGAACAAAAGTTTAATTTTTCTTATTTTACGTTCCACTAGTAATGTGCTAATGCTATTAAACAGTCATTAGTCAAGTCACTGTGCCTTACATGAACTATAAAACCATGCACAGCCTTTAATAAACTTGTGATCGTGTAAACTAAACCCAGTATCACTTATGAACTCGAATTGTTAACTGATCATACCACTTTTATTTGTAACTTGAGCCCAAATCTTTCCACAAAATGTGCTATTCTCTACATCATTGAATGTTCACTTAAGTGAAGTACATAGTCAACCGATCAAACACTACGCTGTAATATAATATAATCCGGATATATATATATATATATATATATATTGCAAGCCCTGTAAATATAACAATGACATTAGACTTAACAATAATCGTCATTTTGATTATGTTTATACCCTCCAACATCAATGTTACTTTTAATTACTGTCACGTTATGTTTTTCACTTTTATACGTTACATTAGGTATCCCATCGGAATAGACCATAACAAACGCCTATATATAGGCACACTTCTAATCTTCTAGTTGTATATAGGGAGAAAGAGAAAAATAAGTCAAGACTTGAGATGAATTAAAATTAATAGACAAATAGTTTACATAAGTTAATAAATAGGCCAAATTACTGTTTTCGTCCATAACTTGTCTGGTTATAAACCATAACTTGACAAGTTATTGTCCATAATTGTCCATAACTTGTCTGGCTATGAATCATAACTTGACAAGTTTGTCCATAACTTATCTGGTTATGAACCATAACTTGACAAGTTATGACCTATTAATTTCTATAACTAAAAATTAGCCTATATACTTTCTTAAGTTTTTCATATTGGCATATTTTCTACTATATTTTCCTTGTATATACCATACGGGCCTTTTGTTATTAATCTACGTCTGGCCAGCTAGAATACTGTTTCCGTCCCTCTCCCTGCTTTGCTTAATTATAACTGTTTCTCTAATTATATATATATATATATATACATATATATATATATATATATATATATATAGTTGTGGCTAATTATTCAGCCAGGGATCCAATGTGTCACAAAAGTGACCATGCCAACCCATTGTGTTCCACGCCGATGTGTCTTTTCTTTATGTGCAGCAGCAATAACTAGTTGCTGGTGTGAACGTATGGACTTAAAATTATGTAGTTACTTGCTAAAGGTACATAGAAGTACTACCTTTCTTTTCCCATTCGATTGTACAAAGAGAAAAACAAGAAAGAAGGAAACGAGATAAAAAGGAGAAGTGACACAACGTACCCTTCTTTTTTTGTTGTTTCTGTAAGAAGGATGAGAATAATATGTAGGATGATGGACTTAATGCCCTTCTTCTCGAAACAACGAAAAGAAAAGTTACACAGATGCCCCATATTCGTCAAAGCAGTATTCAACTGAGGCACCCAGAAATATGAATGAATTACGTACGCTATCAAATTTTACCAGTATGGCCACTTGAGCCTACCTCGAGTGGTTTGGTATGCGAGTGTTTGCATGTAGGGCCGGCAATATGGATCACGACACGAATTTCGCGGGTTAGGGTTGAAAAAAAAGAGGTTCGGGTCAGAATTGGATCGACTTGAAATTGACACGAAAAACGACCCGCCTAACCTGAACACGACACGAAACTCGTAAAAAAACTAAAAAATACATATTTTTCATTACATATTTTTAATTTTATTATGAACTTGTGATATCATGACAGTTATACTCAGAATCTTATACTATTATTTGCTTAATTTCAATGCATGTTATTGTAATTTAGTGTGTTATGAATTTTAAGTTATTTCTAATTTTTAAAAAACTAAATAAAAGTATACAATTTTCGTGTCAATTTCGGGTTCACGGGTCAATTTCGTGTCATGGGTCATTTTCGTATCGTTTCGTGTCAACCCGTAAAGTGGTCGTGTCGTGTTCGTGTGACGGTTTTTAAAAAATTTCGTGTCACGGGTCGTGTTCGGGTTGACTGTAAATTTATAAAGAAACGATCAAAATACGATACGAACATGACACGTGACACGAATTATCACCCCTATTTACATGTGTCTACTAAAAATTGAATCCTGATTAGTTCCTTTCTTATTAGGAAAATAGGTGCCATAGGCCCCTTACCGTATAAAAAAAATGTTACCATTCAATTTTCATCGAATATTGTCTCTGTAACTGAGTCTGTAAATTTTATTGCTTTCATCTTAAAATACCCAAATTATACCATTCAATAATATTATTTCAAATTGATTTAATCGATGGAAATAAATAAAAGTCATGTCGAGCTTTCCACTTATCAAGAATTATTGTAACATATTGACGTAGAACAGTTAAGAAAGAGAAGAATAGAGAAAAATAGAGGTCATAAAGAAAAGGAATTAGATCGGGAAAGTGAGTACTCGAGAACTTAGAATTTAGAGAGAAAAATATGAAAATTCAATATTATTTATTAAGTCTGAAAAATAATGATCATAGAGAGGACTATTCATTAAAGAGTAAAATCTAATAGTTATCAAACTCCTAGTAAATACTAAATAGTCTTAATGGAATTCATAGAAATCCTAATAGATAAACATGAAATAAAAATAACTCAAATCTTAAAACAACCTTAACTCTTAAAAGGAACTCTTATTATCTTAATATCATTATCCCTGGGTTGAAAGAACTTGAATCCGATGAGTGACACTGTAGATAACTCTCCAAAAAGACGTGGATTAAGTCTCTTAACTCGTCCGAAGTTATCCAAGCATCATCAGTAAAAAGAGGATCCTTCCAACAAACCAAGAAAAATTAGTAACTACCAATGGGGAAGTAATAAACTCATCCTCTTGAACATCAAGAATCATGCAAGGAGATCCCAAAGGAGCTCAAGGAACTAGAGTACGGCCCGTTTAGTTCGCTGATTCGAGTTTTTAATTCGAATTGAGATGTGACTTTATGTGAAAGCTTTTTACTGTAGCAAAAAAGTTAGATGTGATTGTTTCTGAGAGCATTTTACTGTAGCAAAACTCGAATTCTAAACTCGAATAGGTGAAATGAACGGGGTTTAAATTTTCTGAATAAAATTCTCAAGGTTCATAGAAATTACCAAGTATAGTGGATTCTCATCAAATCAAAATATGTATGCTAAAGTATGCTTATTTAGTCATTATACATTTTCACAAAAATTTTCAGCATAGTTTACCAAATACCTAAATTTCTGCTTCTAATATTCACAGCAACTTAAAAAAAAAAAAAAAAAAAAACACCTACATGCTATTGATCGCAACAACTTTTGACAAAGAGGGACAAAAAAATTGTTTCAAAACAAAATTTTAAAAGTTTGACTAAAAAAAAAAAGGAAACATCCTCTAAATTGCCGAATATTTGCATGAATGGAGAAGATTTAGAAAAGAGGCACATGTGCATATGCATGGAGGTACAAGAGACAGGCCTACCAAACAAAGTTTTGGCTTTATTAGCTGAGGAAAAAAAAAAAAAAGAGTGGTTGGAACGTAAGTTTAAGTTGCTTATCTTTCCAAACACCAAAGTTAAATATGCATCCAATGCAAGTATTACAGTAATTGGACGATATGATATTTGAGATGAACTAAACGTAACAACGATATCAAATCACTTATAATTACTTTCTTCTTCTTCTTGTTATTATTTCATTGAACACGATACAAACTTCAAGCGAAACCAAGGGCATCCCAAGTAAATTCATGTTTTAGACCTTCTATCATAAGCTTCACCCACTAAATGCTAATAATAACTATAATAAATTAAAAAAAAAGAAATTACAAGAGAGTCTGCAAGAATCTAATAAAGAAACAATATATATATGTATATATATATATATATATATATATATATATATAGTATAAGGTATAAAGTAGTTAGACAGCCATGTTTAAGTTGGCAGAAAACTCATCTAAAGACAAAGCTGGTAGAAATAGTTAAACGCAAATCATTTATCTATTGTCAAAAAGAATAATATTATTTATTTGTTTAAGATAGGAAAGAGCAACTAAGAATTACTCAAGTCAATAACTCATTCTTTAACAAACACCAAATGACATTGTCATATATTACAGAAACGGTTTTTTTTTTTTTCTGTTGAATAAATCTAAAACGATTTTAGCATAGAAATATTGCTTGTGTTATTTTACATAACTTCAGCTGACTTAAAGTATACGTTATGCATGTATCACACTATTTAAATGTGTCTAATTATATATGTCGTCACAGGCTCGCTGATGTGATCTCTTAGCAGATGGCCTTGACTATAAAAGGGATTTATAAAAAAAGTACACTTTATTTTGAATGTTCTTAATATTATTCCGCCAAAATTGAAATCATATAAGATTTATATTTTCAAGTCAACAACTCATTTTGATTTTTGAATTGACGAATTTATTCTTTGTAACTTATTTGAAAATACAAGTTTTGTGATTTTTTTCTTTGTTTGTTTTTTTTTTTTTT